CCCTCTCGGCACGGTGGAGATCCCAGGGCTTTGCCCCCCTCCTCTCCCCACCCTCGCTCTCACCTCTCCGTCCGCAGGTGCAGCACCAATATAGCTTTGCAGTTCTTTCATATCCTTGGTAGGACCTGTGATGAGCGACGTCCCGGTGTCCACGATGGCCTGGCAGCCGTTTGCGCAGAAAGCCACTGTCCCACCCAGCTGGATGCTGGAGGAGGAGGGAAGAGAGAAGGACCAGGAGGGTCTTGTCCGGCTTGCCCGCCCCAGCCCAACCTTTCCCTCCCTGCCCAGCACCACTCACTTGTCCAGTTGGATCTGCCAGTACCCTTGCTGGGTGACTGGCACCCAGTTCAGGGTCCCCGTGAAGTGGGAAGGGTCAAAGCCACCAAAGAGCAGCTCTCCTCCCTGGGAGGATTCGGGGTTCCTGGAGGGAGGAGGAGGAAGAGACGTGAGGGATTTCCTCTCTTTTGCTTTTCACGTCGTGTTTTAAATGTATGGATTTATACCCACTCGCTTCCCCCAAATGTTTAGGGTCATTTGCTTTATTCCTGTAGGGCCTGAGGTCTGTTGGCACGCTACCAAAAAAACCCTTTACTACCTCAGTAAAACATGCTTATTTTAGCAGCTCCCCTGGAAGTAATGCCTGAGTCTAAGCAACAGCCTGCAGCAAAGCTGTGTCCGTACGTGCTCAGGTAGACGGAGAACATGGGCGTCTCCACCAGATTTTGTGCCATCATGTTGTCAAAGACGGGGGTGACCCCGTCCACAGCCAGCGAGGGGTAAGCCAGCCCCAGGATCCCGTCGAACTCGGCATCCAGGAAGGCTTTGCCCGGCTCGCTGACGCTCTCTGCAAACTGCTGGTTGCTCACGGCGAGGCCCTCGACCTGCGGGGAGGAGGAGGAGGCTCGATGGTGATGCTGAGTCTTTCAGCAAGTCCCAAGAACCTTGTCCAGAGCCAGAGAAGCCAAAGATGACTCACGACAACTTGGTCGGATCCGATGACCCCTGTCAAACTGCCGGTCCCGTACTGGATGGATTTTTTTTTCGGTTCCGTGTTGGCCTGCGCCGGCGAAACCTTGGAGTTCGCGGCTGGGAAAGGAGACGGGAGCTGCCACCAGAAATGCTATTTACCTGCACAGCCAGGGATGCCAGGAGCCCCGCCACGACCGGAGGCAGTGACCGCCCTCGGAGCAAACCGACGGGGCCACGTGGCATCAGAGAGCTTCTCACGAGACAACGGGGCGTGCTGGTGTTTTGAGAAGGGATAAAGCCCACCCTGTTTCGATCTGCCTGAAAGATGTGAGCTTTGCTAAGGTAAGCGGGATTAGCTCCTGCGATATTTTTATGAGACCTGAAAACCAGCGCTGCTGTTGCTGTTTTACAGATGGAAGCAGCCCCATGGGCGCAGCGATTTTCCCCAGCCCACCTCAGGCGCTGCTGGAAGCGCCCGAGGACCCTTGGGGCTGCGTGAAGCCGCTCCGTGTCCCGGGGGAGCAGGGC